GACATAAAACTTAAGATGAATGAGTTCAGTGTAGTGAAAGTAGAACTATTACTATATCTCATAAGTTATGCATGAATAGGTACATGATATTACCTCACACTGAACACAGTAAGGGGCTGAGTGTGAGAAGAAAGCTAGAGAAAGTACTCGTTTATCAAGTAATATGACTGCAGAACAAAAACAGAAAAGATATGACATATATAGTTATACAAGACGACATGATGAGACTTAAGAATTTATATTGCCGTGTCCCTGAGATATTACCTGACAACTCTGTAATGGGTTCACAGTCTGTAATGAGAAGTTGCTCAGAAACTGCTGGGTGAGAAATGAAGCTCTAGCCACTAGGAAAGACTGGAGACACACAAATGTATTGTTGTTGTGAGCATGCGCAATAACTATAGGAAAATGGTGTCCAACAACTTGCTCAGTCTATGTGTGCTTCAAAGAACAAGAAAAAATCATTACATCCAACTACAATAATCATCGCACACTGCACTAGCGTCTCTAAAATGCAAGACAATGGTGTAAAATCACCTTTCTATGATAAAGTCTAGAAGGAGTTCTGCCTTAACTGTAGAAGAAGAAGGAGAAACCTGAACATTTGGTGAATGCATTCATTTGCTGTAAAACTATCTTATGGACGTTATTTACCACTTTTCATAACACTGCCTTCCTTTTCTAGAATTATAAAGGACATCTGCACTGTAACATAAGTGACAAAGAATTCCTGAAGATTTTACAGGGCTCAATGGCTCTGGGGTGGCAGCCATTTTGGGGGCGCAATCGTCCAACTCAACCCTACATACCAAGCGCTAGCGTTTGGTAATAATAGTTCACCAAAAGCAGAGAGAGAGATAAGATCAAGAGAGAACCAAGTTTATTAGCAAAATGAGGAGAGAACAATTCTATTATATAGATAATTACGGCTGTAATAGCTTTGTGATATGCAAAAGGAGAGAACTTGGATCCAATGCTTTAGTAGTGTAGTCAAAAACGTCAATACTCAATGGATGCAAGTGACTGTCACTTGACATGTCTA